GTTAATTCATTTTAAAAATTATATATAATTGTTCCGATTTAAAGTGACAAGAATTGTTCTTATTGTGCATTTGTGAACAATTATCATTATGATATAATGAAATCATGATATTTTTCAAGACTAAGACTAGCCAAATCTGTTTAGTTTTCGAGTTTTGGCAGATCATTTTATCTAGAGCTCTCTCTCTCTCTCTCTCTCTCTCTCTCTCTATATATATATATATATATATATATATATATATATATATATATATATATATATATCATTATTCTAGTTTCTCTCCTTAGTTTGATAAGTGTTGTTATTTTGTTATTTCCTAGTTTTTTTCTTCTATTTATAGTTTTTATATAAAATTATAATTCTCATAGTTACCTAGTTTATATAATTTTTTCAAATATTTTAGCTTATATATTACCAGATACAAAACAATCATTAAGAGCAAAAACTTTCAATATAGACTTATCGATGGTGTTTTTACAACAATTAATGATTAAAAAGTGTCGTAAATATTATCTAAACCTTACAGGAAGCATCTATACCTTGAAGTACCCAATATTGAGTTTGAGATATAGTTACTTATTAGTACATAAGGTAAACCTACCATATTACGGGATGTTAAGGAACGTTTGACTTTAAAGACGAATTTTAGAGAAAATAGGAAAGTGGACGAACTAAATCTGTTATATTTTATTAATTAGACCTTTAAGATTATTATAAAACAAGATTTTTTGTCGTAGAACGTCATTTATAGAAATAATCGGCATTTTGGTGAACTACGCGTTTGTCTCTAATTCCGTGATAAAATTCGGTTCGTGAATATAATGCCGGGAGTCGCTGTACACTATTCCGTGATAGCGCTCGAAGCATACATTTTTGATCGTATTGCCTTGATAAATATAGTTGAATAGGTTATAAAAAGTACGGTAAATTATAAAATAATACTTTGATATCATTTTAAACATCTATTTAGTAGTATAAAAATAAAAGAATAAATAAAAATATAAGAAGTTGAAAAACTTCTAAAATAAAAATAAAATAAAAGCTGGTATTATTATAGTAATAGCAGTATAATTATCATTATCAATACTGTTTCGGTAAATCAAATAAATGAAACAATAAAGGAATAATTTTTAACGGCAATTAAACAAAAATATAAACTTAAAATAAATATAAAATTTAAACTCAAAATAAAAAAATTAAACTTGAAATAAAAATTACAATTCTACCAACAAACGTAAATCTTTAACACTATTCCTACCGGGACCGGTCAAATGACCGTTTTTGATTTTTCGATTAGTATTTTTCATATCAAACGTAATTGAATCGTCATCAAACTTTATGACTTTTCCTAATATGTGAGTATGATACGTTTTTCAATGTTAATTTGTTTTCTCAATTTTTATTTTTGGAAAAAATAATTGTATGCTGTCTTACCTACCGCGACCGGTCATTTGACCGGTAGTACGAAAGACGATGTTCGGATGGGATTTTTTGTAGTAATTGTTAAAAATATTTTGGAACTTACAAGAAAATGTAAACTCAGAAGAATTTAGACTGGTAAAAACTGCCTTCTGCAAATTTATATGCATTTCTTTCGATTCTGTATGCGCGTTGCGCAAATGAGGCAAGGAGTATAAATATTGCATTTCTACGTTATAAAAAGTGGGTTTTCTCAATTTTCTCAATGTCTATGTGTAGACAGATTTTTACGAAGGAATCCAAACAACAAATTGATAGGTTTTGTTTTGAATCCAAAGGTTGTTTCAACTACATTGACAGCAATCAAAATTGTTGTAAAAGACTACGTATTACTATCGACAAACATATATATATTTTCAATAAAGGTAAGGTGTAAATTTATTCAACATATGTTCAATAGTATTTAGGAAAACGTATAAATATTAGATACCGTTCAATATACGATGTAAATATAATTATGCCCTCCAAATCGCACAAGTGGGGTGTAAAATTTTGGTAACCATCCAGTACACGTAGCAAACTGAGATATTCTTTGAAGATTTATAACTGATGAAACCGTATTATCAAAATCGCTTGTACGACAAATATATATAACGTTTTTACCATCCTACATACAGCTAAACTTTTAGTAAAAGAAAACTGATGGTAGGTACAATTGAAGCAATATAACAGCTATAAATACTGTCAGAACGAAAAATCAAAGACTTCAACACTCAAATATTATTTACAACTTTGGAAGATAAGAAAGAAGATTCTAATTTTCACTTACAGGCACATATGTTGAAAAAATTACACTAATACGGGAGTTAATTCTATTGGTATTAGCGTCGGGTCTGATGTAGATGCCATTCATAAAATAGTCAGAAATCATTTGGTAAAATATGAATTTTAGAGAGAATTCATCAAGGATTTACATTATTTTGGATTTATTCAGGATAAATCCATTGTTGTTACATACATAAATTACAAGAAGACAATGTACAAGGCAGGAACTTTCTATTCCAATTAACTTGCCGTATAGTTCCAACAAGAATTCAGAAAAAAATCAACTAAGTACAAGTACAAAACAGATTCCCTAAAAGAAACTATTCCAGATAATGCTTTAGAAAAATGATAGGGCGAACAAAATCAGCCAAAAACGTAAAAAATGCGTGTGCAGAAAATACACTCTAAGAAAAAAAAATCGTGAAAAACTTGGTAAAATAGTATAAAATGTAGAATTCGCATTATAAAATAAAAGAAATATATTGTATTTGTATTTATAAACTCTTAAACTAGCATTAACTCTTCATTCAATACTGAAAAATGCCGATTTTGCATGACCGGTCATTTGACCGGTTGCGGTAGGAATAGTAAACACGAAATGTCGGTAGGAATAGTGTTAAAGACTTTAAAATAATCTTTAAAGCCTTTCAAGTTAACAATAACTACTAGCTTAAATCAGGTTCGATTGGGAATTTTGTATGTTTTAGAAGTTTTAGAATATAAGTATATTCCAAAAACTTAATCGGATCAAAACTATCGTGTTTACAGGAATGTCCCTAGATCTCTGCATACATACATACATACCAGCGCCCTAGTGAATCCGCGCCCCATAAGTACCGTGCGCTATACGGGGTATACCTGTATTTTTATTCAATTTATATATTAGAAATAATTAGTCATAGATGAAACGGTAGAAATAAATGATTCTCTCATTACTACAATATTCTAGGTATATTGGAACAATGCAAATAAATGAAAAAAATCGTATACTTTCTTACTAAAGAGTAGTCATTTCAAACTCAATTATTAGTGTTAAAAATTTAAAAAAACATATACCGTAATTACGTCACAGTATTCTGTAGTTATTAGCAAACTTTTTAACACCAGAAACACCGCCGAATTTAAGCAAAGTTGAAAATAAAAGATAAAACTATTTCAAGTCTACTTCTCGTAATTGCGGGATTCTCACGAAATTACGTTCATTGGTTCAGTTGTGTGTACCTAATTGCGGGAGTCATGAAATTGACAATTTCTTGACAATATATGCTCGATTTAACTATAAAACTAATCTTTTATTATTACTGATAAAAAATTTCACATATTTGAATCGATTAAGCTTATCGGAATCGAAAGAAAACCTTAAGCAATGGCACCGTCATATAACCTAACTCGCTAACAAGATAGTTAAGTACGAAATGGCGATCGTGTTACGACCGATGCTGTCAAAAGCTTTTTACGGCTTCAAAAACTAATATTTAAATTCGAAAATCGTACTATTTTATTAGGATTCAAATTATAATTGATGTGCTATTGAATAACATTATTATTTATTGACCATTTTCTTATTTTGAGATCAAAATGAAAAACTCCCGTAATAATGTACTATCCCGGAATAGTGTACGTTTACCTTATTATAAAATTAAAGCAAATATTTATTGAGACACTAAAAAGTTAGTAAATATAATTTAACAAACATGTATAAACTTTTTCAGTATACTATATATTGAAATATACATTTGCAGGTAAGATACTTAACAGCCACATTACCGTTTATTCTAATTCTTGTATTTTTGGGAAGAGCGCTAACTCTTGAAGGAGCTGATAAAGGTCTCCGTTACTTTTTCAGGCCAAAATGGGAACTGTTGGGCGAAGCTAATGTAAGTATAAAAAAAAATTAAAATAATTCACTAGTTAATACTATATATGATTAATTTTAATTGTGAAGATTTGAAATAATGGAAATATGACTGCCAATTCAAATTTAATTCTACAAATTGTATGTGAAAAGAATAACATTTTACTAATGCAATTTAAGACATTGTTTGGCCTTGATGCTTATTGATAGTCATGGCAAATGCCTAATTTTGCACTTACTCCATCTTTCAAGCCATTCGGAATCGTTAGAGATCAAATAAGGAATGACGTGTGTATGTTAGCCGGATTTCGACTTTTTCTTACAAAAGGCTGAATCAAACTCAGGATTGCCAAAGCCATTTAAAAAACCTCTATCATAACTCAATTTTATTAGTTTTGCGAGCCGATCGGCAAAATCTTTTCTTTTTTACGTTTATTATGAAATGAACTTCTTTCTGCGTCTTTGCATAAATTTGTAGCTTAGCGAGTTATTACGACTGGATCGTGTTTGTTACTACAATACATTATAAGTTTGAATGAAATATATCAGATGGACATTGCATTGATTAGTTTTCGGAAGTGCCAAAATCCCACTTTCTCTCAGTTAAATTATAGTACAGCACGGCTTTGCAATAATGTCCGATAATGTAAGTATTGTAATTATTCATTGAAGGTTTGGATAAATGCAGCTGCTCAGAATTTCAATTCAATTGGAATATCATTCGGTTCTATGATATCGTTTGCTAGTTACAACAAGTACAACAACAATATATTGCATGATACGTTGGCAGTGTCTGTCGTCAACGCAGCTACTAGTTTACTTGTTGGCATTCTTGCATTTGCAACGATTGGAAATATCGCATTAGAGCAGAACACAAATATTGAGGATGTGATTAGCGACGGTAAGCATATCTCTAATATAACATAGGCATGTATTTGTTGGAAATGTTATGTGCTAGAAATAATGTAATAAACTAGTGGTGCATGGCATCGTGCTTTAAGGCAAAATGCTAAAACTTCCCGTACCAGAATTAAATATTCGAGGGAAAAAAATCAGTAATCATTATATATTGATTAATGCTTAATAACAATTGTTTTAAACATTCTCAAATAGATTTTTATAATCAATATATATTTTATGGTTCATAAAATATACAGTGGCGATCCTATCGCTCAAAACACTTCAGAAAGTTTATAAATGTATTAGGTGCCGGTTGAATCCATCTAAGGATATAATTTTTACAATTAGAATAAAGCGTTTGAAATATATACATTTTCAAAATAAATTTTAATATTCATATTTGAAGTTTATACTTTTTATATTTTTGAACAAAAATTTCTGAAAATGTTAAAATTTGCTTCAACCGTATAAGTAAATTTCTAAAAACTTTATCAAATATCTGATTATTTGTTATTAATATGTCTAAAGATAATAAAGCTAATACGATACGAAATCGTATATGATATATCTAGACCTGCTTTCCCAAAAATTTAATTAGTTCTGCATATCGTCAATATAAGTAAAACGTTTCTTGAATTATTCAAATTAGACTATTCATTACCTTAAAAATTGAATTACTTTTTTTTAGCACTTTTTGCCGCATATCTATAAATCATTGCCTTTGCTTGAAACTAATCAGCACGTCTTTCCATCAAAAGGAATCGAATGCTTTTTGAATAATTTAAATCGGCTAATCCGTACGCCCGAAATCGTTGACAAAAATTTTAACCAAACATACATACACACACATACATCAATTTTTTTAATGTTCCCGAAGGAGAAGTTTATGTTTTTATCAAAAAATCCGATTCGCTAATTTTATGTTTTTGTGTGTGTGTGTGAACAGATTTTTTGTCGTAAATCGACGTTTTCTCCAAAACGGCTGGACCGATTTCAAAAATTTAAAAGCCATTCGATGTATCTCGAGGAGGACTATCGTTTCTGAGTTTTGTGCGGCGATCGGCCGGGCCGTTTCTTTGTAAAATGCAGAAAAATGAAAAAAATTTCGTCCACGTTTTAGCGCGCAATTCTGAATCGATTCTGAAAATTCAAAAACCATTCGATAGATATTGGTTGGGAATCGTGCTGATTAGTTTTTGGTAAAGATCGGCCGGGCCGTTTTCTTGTAATAAAGTTTTAAAAAAAAAATTCGACGATTTTTATGATTTCTTTTTTGACGGTAGATACCATTGTTTTCTAGGTCATACTAAAATATTACGGCCCTACAACAACTCGTTTAGCTTTAAAAATTCGTCAAAGTTTGCAAAAATTGGTATCGTTTTTTTTGACATTTGTCAAAATTAGACTTTTGATCGACGTTTTCTCAAAAACGCCTGAACCGATTTCAGAAATTTAAAAGCCATTAAATGTATCTCAGTGAGGACTATCGTTTGTCAGTTTTGTGCGACGATCTGTCAAGCCGTTTCTTTGTAATTTGAAAAAAAGTGTTAAACTTTTCGTCCACATTTAAGCTCATCCTATCGAACCGATTTTAAAAAATCAAAAACTGTTCGAATGATATTGGTTGGGAATGGTACTGATTAGTTTTAGGTGAAAATCTACCGAGCCGTTTTCTTGTAATTAACTATTGAAAAAAAACTTAAGCCGTTGAAGACATCGATTTCCACTGTGCGACACAGCCAATTTGTGATTTTTTCAATTATATTTCTAAAATTACAAATATTTTTGATACATCTGTTAATTGTGACTTTAATGTATTTTAAACTAACTTTTTGTAAACTATTGTATTTGAAATTATTACTAATGAATTTGAATTTTTTAATGTCTATTTAGTAAAACTTAGGAACAAATTTTTCTTTGTGACATCTTAATAAAAACACTTGTTTGTTGAAATTTATGATAAGTTTAGAATTGAGCTTAGATATTTTTTTAAATTGTGAAAAAATGTAGAACCCGTAATTGCGCCTAATAAATTCAAAAAATGACAGGTTGTGATCTTCAAAATGATTTTGCTTTCGTTATAATCTCCAATTATTGTGCCGTAGATTGATCATTTTCCTATTATAATGACGCAGTGGTTCCATGGATAATAATTGTGTAGTAGAATTTTTAGTATTGTATTTTGTATAAAGTACTGAGAGTAATGAATCCTTTTTTCAGCCCAGGAAAAATAATTTGTATGATTCTGAATTTGATGTTGACATGTGTATTAACAAAGTCGAATAATCGGGCATAATATCAATAAAAAACATGATTTTTTTTCAAAAATTTATTTTAAATCCATACGTTTCGGCTATAATCCTAGCGGTAACTAAAAATAAAATTAAAAACTAAAACAATTGAATTTGAGTGAAAAGAAAAAATAAAATAGTAAATAGTACTTAAAATTAGTTAATCTTAGTGTTGAATTGGAAAATTTTAATAATCCATGGTATCAGGATATAGTAATGCACTACACAGTGTATTATAAACATTCAACTTGAAATTACACAATATTTTCACAAAATACTAATTTTGAGAAATCACAAATGGATAGTGTGTTATTCGTAGACTGGTGTGGAACGAATTGCGAATCCTTTGCGCGACGCTTTTATTGTTTTGTAAGAAATTTGGAAATGTTATCTAAATAAAAGAGATTTGTTTCGCACAGCGTGTTAAACTAATTAGCTTAGACGTAGTCTCACTTTTTACTAATGTACTCCCAGACCTTATTTTAGATGCTATAACAATCCGATGGGATGAAATTTCTCCGTTGACTTCTTTATCTTTGCACTGGTTATGTAGATGACATTATCACTTGTATCCCTAGTAATGAAGTCACTATGATAATTGATCAATTTAATAACGCCAATAAAAAATTAAAATATACAGTAGAATTGGAGACAATGAACTCGATAAGTTTCTTAGACATGAAACTTATACGTACTACGGATAACAAACTAATAACAAATTGGTACCAAAAACCAACTAACTCTAGACGTTATCTTAATTACTTTTCTTATCATCCACTCAAAATGAAAATAGGTACTATAATAAATCTATCTGACCACGCAATACTTCTATCGGACAAAACATTTTGGGACAACAACATCAATTCAATTACAAAAATTCTAACAGATAACTCCTATCCCTTTTAGCTCAAGAGTAGCGTTTCCGGTTCACATGCTGGAGGTTCCTAAATCGAATTTCCGGCAAGAATTTAAAAAAATATTAACTAGTTAAGTTGGAATAATAATAGAATTATGAATTGTAATAAAAAGATATGTATGTAAAATCAAAATGTATAAAAATTAGAGAACTAGAATTAAAAATGAATTGAAGTAAAAAGAATTTAGAAAAATAAATGAGAAGTATAGAAGAAGAAGAAATATGTGGTTAGAGATGAAATGAGGAGATAGTAAAAGAAGAATGAAGATAAGTTAAGAAGTATAGAAAAAGAATAGAATTATATGAAAAAGATAGTATAAAATTGAAGATTGCATAGGATATATGATTGTATAGAATAATGTAGGTGGCTAAATGCTCGAGTAAGCGAGGCCAAAAAAAACTCCTATCCCTTAAAACTTATAAATTCCGTAACGAGTAACAGACGAACGTACCTTTTGAATAAAATGGACAATTTCACATTACATAACGATTTACCTGACTCAGAAACTCATTCTGGTGTAATATGTTTGCCATACATTAAAGAATTCTGCGATTCGTAACTAATTTTAGTACAATTACTAGCATTATTTTTACCAAAACAAAAACCCCTTTTAATATCGAACGACTTAGAAATCTCGTCTATCAAATAAATTGTTTAGATTGTAATTTAATTTACATAGGAGAAACTAGCCAGAACTTGAATAAACGTTTACAACAACATAAAAACAATTAAAAAAATCTGAGACAATTCAAAACTGTACTTGCAGACCATATTTATACTTTAAAACACAATATGGACTTTGCTAACCCGACTGTACTACAATTCGAACAAAATTTATTTAAACGAAGAATTATAGAAGGATCTTTTTTAACTATTTATAACAATGAGACAATAAATAAACGGAATGAACTTAACATGCTGTGCAACACAAATCTCTTTTATTTAGATAACATTCCCAAATTTCTTACAAAACAATAAAAGCGTCGCGCAAAGGATTTGCAATTCATTCCACACATGTGTAGAATCTTGGTAAAAATATTTTTTAAAAATGTTATTCTTCATTATATCTTCAACCAGTCTACGAATAACACACTATCCATTTGTGATTTTTTAAAATTAGTATTTTGTGAAAATATTGTGTAATTTCAAGTTTAATGTTTATAATACATAGTGTAGTGCATTATCATATCCTGATACCATGGATTATTAAAATTTTCCAATTTAACACTAAGATTAACTAATTGTAAGTACTATTTACTATTTTCTTTTTTCTTTTCACTCCAATTCAATTTTAGTTTCTAATTTTATTTTTAGTTACCACTGAATGAAGGCTAGGATTATAGCCGAAACGTATGGATTTAAAATAAATTTTTGAAAGAAATTCATGTTTTTTATTGATGTTATGCCCGATTATCAGACTTTGTTAATACATATGTCAACATCAAATTCAGAATCATACAAAATATATATATATCATATACTAGATGGCCCGACAAACGTTATTCTATACCCATGTCTACAATTCAATAGTTCATTTTTTTTAATAACTTATACTGAAATTTACCAATTAGTTAAAAATTATTATGTGATGTTAAATGTACAACTGCTTTAAATAAAATTATGAGTCTTAGAACACACACTTAACTCTTTAATTATACTGTGAAATTCAAATCAGCCATGTAAGACCATTAAACCATCAAATATTGAAATATGTTCAATGAAATAGTATATCATAAATGCATATTACAATTTATTGAATAAATTTATTTCCAATTGCAAAATTTATTCTAATG